AGACAACCTCTCGTCAATATGCGTTTTCTGCATTGCATAGCTGCAAAAAACGCATAAAAAGGAAACTTTTTCGATGGCAGCAGGCGATCTCGGCGGTATAGCACATTCAACATCTGAATTTGTCGTATCCTCGCTATCACTTTCCAGTGCTTGCTTACTTGCAGCTAAAGGGTCCGGAGAACTACCCTTTGGTCTTTTCCCTGGCACCACACCCATCATCGAAAACGGATCGCTGAAACCTGAAATTTCTCTCTTTTTTGTCGTGGCAGATATGCATTAATGAGTATTTTTCCAACCACTCACTTTATGCTGAAGCTTTTTTTAGCTTGCAATCGGACTACTGCACTGAATTAATGTTTAAGACTGTCAACCCCAATTCGGGAAGAATGTTCGGGGATAAAAGTTAGGGGATAAAAAAATGAATAAAAAGCTTCAAATTGAACCAGTATTTTTTGGTAAATAAAAAATCGAATAGGCCCGCATAAAATCTGAGATATTTTTTCCCTGAAATCTAAAATTATGCAAAGCATTTCCATCTCCTCCTTTTCTTCCGCAGCGCGTCTTAAAGTCTGCTGTTTTTTTAATAAATTGTACAGGTCATCGTAAAAGTGTTATAAACCAACCGAAGAAAAAAATAATTTTCTCTTAAAACATTGTGTTCTAATTTATTTGGAAGAACTCGAAGTTACGAACAATTCAAAACGCCTGAAGCAATAACAATAGGCTTTGTATTTTAAAAACTCCACTTCTCATTCGGTAAGGCATAACTTGACATATGTAATACTCCCGACGAAAATGCAAGCATAATAAAGTGATCCAAAAATAGCTGAGATCAGTGGGCATTATTACCTCAAAATATTGCAGCAGTAATTACAGCATTTTCTTTTTAGAGCAATGCAGGAATGAATTAAGAAGGCTGTGGGTGCAAACTCAAGAAATGACCATCCACAGTGTGATAAAAAATCATAAAAGTAATGAAAACCCCAAACTGGAGCGCACCAGGTTTGCGGATGTGATCATCCATTTTTGCACTAGTCAGGTCGTTAACTATACGAATGGCTCTTGCGTTACACTTACCTTGTGAGCTCAGTGGGTAAAACGTTGTAAATCTTGCATAAGAGAAAGTGAACAATTTCCGTTTATCGATCGTTTTTTGAAATGAACGAACTGTCTAGTGAGTAATTTTACCGCCAAAATCTGAGTGCCCGTACTTGAGAATCATCCATGTCTGGGGAGTGAGTTTATTAAGTTGTACTTGGGTAGGGGAGATTCCTTTGGAGTTTCGACTTTCCAGATTTTTTAGTTTTCGAGCTGGCAATTTTTCAGCCAAAAATTTTACTTGCTCGCAGGTGCGAGCCACGCACACCCGAGGGCTGAATTTGAAATATACTGTTCGTGGGTGGGAGACAACTCCTTAAAATTTCAGCCCCCCCCCCCCCCCCCCCCC